CATAAGTAGATTGTTATGTAGAGGAATAGTCAGATAATATCAACAAAATGTCAGTATCAAGCCGCTGCTTCAAAGCCAAAGTGGTGGTTGGGTGTAAAGTGGTATTTGATGAGACGGAGGAGGCAGATTAGGAGGAAGGATGATCCGATGATTACATGGCGGCCGTGGAATCCTGTAGCCACGAAGAAGGTAGATCCATAAACTCCATCGGCAATTGAGAATGGGGCTTCATAATATTCTATTGCTTGAAGTGCAGTAAAGTAAAATCCCAGTAAGACCGTTATAAGTAGGGCCTGAGTAGCTTGGTTTCGATTACCCTCTGTCATGCTGTGGTGGGCTCATGTGACGGTAACTCCTGAGGCCAGGAGAATGGCAGTATTAAGTAGGGGAACTTCTATTGGATTGAGGTGTTTGATTCCCATAGGGGGTCATTGCCCTCCAAGTTCTGGGGTAGGGACTAGGCTGGAGTGGAAGAATGCTCAGAAAAATCCTAGGAAGAAGAAGGCTTCAGATGTAATGAATAAAATTATTCCGTAGCTTAAGCCCTTTTGGACTGTAAGGGTGTGGTGGCCTTGGAATGTGCTTTCTCGTACGATATCACGTCATCATTGGATTATTACTAGAATTATGGAAAGTAGGCCTAGAAGTAAGAGTCATATGGAATTGTGATGAAATCATATGGCCAATCCGGAGGTAGTAAGGAGAGCAGCTGCTGCTCCGGAAATGGGTCAAGGGCTTGGGTCTACTATGTGGACGGAGTGGGCTTGGTGTGTCATTAGGGGTTAAATGTTTTCTTGTAAGTAAAGGCTTAATAGGAGAACAAAGACATAGGCTTGGATTATTGCTACGGCTACTTCTAGAATTGTTAAGAGGAGAAGAATAACTATAGTTAGGAAGGATACGGTGGGTATAATGGGGAGGCGGACGGCAGTAGCTGTTGAAATGAGTTGAATGAGTAGATGTCCTGCTGTGAGGTTAGCTGTGAGGCGGACTCCCAAGGCTACGGGGCGAATGAGGAGGCTTGTTGTTTCAATTATAATGAGGGCAGGGATTAGGGGCGTAGGGGTACCTTCTGGTAGGAGGTGACCTCGAGAAGCTGAAGGTTGGTTTCGTAGGCCCGTTAGTAGGGTGGCGAATCATAAAGGAAAGGCGAGGGCTAGGTTTATTGATAATTGAGTAGTAGGTGTGAATGTATAGGGTAGGAGGCCTAATAGGTTAATTATTCGCAGTATAGTTATGAGTGATGATAAAATTAGAGCCCATTTGTGGCCTTTCTTGTTTAATGGGGATATTAGTTGTTTTGTGATTAGGTGGAAGAATCAGAGTTGAAGAGTTGAA